CAGTCTAGACTTGCCATAAGACTGTTACCCTATAAAATCTAAACTTTTCTGAGGGAGATGGAAAGTTGATCAGTTGTCCTTTCCAACTACATTTTAAAAACGAAAAGGCGCCAGGCAGTGGTGGCGCACTCACCTTTAATCCCAGCACTTGGAAGACAGAGCTAGGCGGATCTTTGTGCAACTCCAGCCTGGTCTATAGATCGAGATCCAGGACAGGCACTAAAACTACACAGAGAAACCCTGTCTCGAAAAACGAAACAAAAACAAAAAACAAAAAAGAAAGAAAAGGGGGATGTGGTTACTTACAATGATATGCTTTATTTTTAAGACCTATTTTTCCAAAAAGAAAATCTTGAGAAATAAGGGGTGTTTTGTTTTGCTTTGTTTTAATGAGGCATCTAGGAACATTTTTTAGAATATTTGTTTAGTTTTTTTAAGTCACTGTGTAGACCAGGCTGGCCTGGAACTCACCGACATCCACCTGCCTCTGGGATTAAAGGCATGTGCCGTGCTGCTCAGCTTTCTAGGATCTGGGTCTCCTTTACGGAAGTCGACATTTGTTTGACAGCATAAGCGGAAGCCTTGGCTTCTAAGGGTTCCTGGTGAGAGCTCTTAGGGAAATTACTGTTGAAATGACCATGGCATTGACCAAGTCCCTTGAAATAAGCAGCCAGCTGAGTTGTCCTTCCTCCCAGCAGACACTGCTCTGCTCTGTAGACACCCCAGCTCAGTGGTCCCCCAGCACGAGGCAGTGAGGAGGGCCCGGTTAACAATGCTGCTGCCCATAGAGGCAATTGCATTTCTGCTAAGTCTGCTAAAGCAGAGGACCACGGTTTAGGATTCTCCTTATATTTCAACTTGGGTTGTCTTTATTTACCTCTTGATTTCTGGGTTGGCCCAAATAAAATGTCACTGGAGCTCCTGGCTCATTAGCTCATCTTTTACCCACTCTCACCCCCCCACCCCCCAACCCCAACCCAACCCAGGCTACTTCTGCTGGGGAACTCGGACCTAGGAAAGAGTTCAAAGTGAGTCCTTAAGTCTCCCTGCATGGTGGAGAGTGGGAAGTGCACGTGTGAGTAACAGTTTTAGGCCCTGAACCCTGGACCATTCCACAAAAAAGGGTTGAAGAGCCAGTCACCTGGCCGACAGAGGGACTGCATGGCTTATTTGGATTTGTCTGGTTGTTGTAAACTCTGAGAGCTTACACAGCACACAGGATGCTGATAATCCTCATCCCTGAGAGTTGAAGATCCTGGTGATGCCAACAGCAGCCAGCACTCCTTAAATATCGCTAACACAGCCGGAGCTGACGCAAGCTTGTGGCACAAACTCGTCCGTTGTATTTTCATAATCCCCTAACAGGACTACTGTGGTACAACCCCATTTCCTAAATAAGGACTCCGGGACACTTAGGTTAGCTTGGTCAAGGTTGCAGGCATACTGCCTCCCCCTGCCAAGTCCCCTTTGACATGAACATAGACTCCCTTTCCAGAGTTAAGCTTGGAGTTAGAGAGGTCCCTAACCCGCCAGAGGGAGGTGCAGTAGAAACACAGAGGTAGTGAAGCTGGCTGTCTTCCCCAGCCTTCCAGCTGGGCTAAACCTTAGCATACTTCCTCATTCCTCACCTCCAACCTGCCTTCTCGCTCATCTTCCTGGTCTCTCTCCTCAAACTACAAGCAGTCCTGTATCCCTGCATGAAGACCTGGTCATGTCCCTTTGCTGTTTCCATTATATTGGGGGCGGGGGATACCCTGTTTCCTTCATCCTTGGAGCCTAAACTCCAACTGGCTTGAGGTCAGCTTTGGAATTTGATCCAAGTGCACATTGCTGGTCCCCAGCACAGACCCTCCAAGCGAACTTTGTGGGCTGGGGCCTGGAAAGATCCTACTCTAACCGGCTGTCCAGGAAGGCCCTTACCAGCCAGACACGGTGACAACTGCATTTGGCCACCTGCTTTATTGTCTCCCACTTGGGACTGTCAATTCCCTCGATGAGGCTTGCACATCCAGCTCACCTCCTTTCTATCTCCGGCACCCAGCGAAGTCCCTGGCATCTAGCCAGCACTTAAAAACTATTCCGAACGCATGTGTGAGTAGATTACAGGACACACTCTCTTTTGAGAGGTTTTAGAGGATTTAAGAGGATTGTTTAAGGGGTGGGGCTTGACCTGCAGGGCTCGTGGCGGGAGATTCCCTGGCAGCCAACGCGGTTTGCCATCTTGGGATCCCATGGCTGTCCTTACTGGGCTCTGGGGCCCCCTTGCCCACGCCAGCAGAGCATTCGGCCAGCGCTGCTTCAGGATTTCTCTGTGGAGCCATGGCTGTCCTAGAACTAGCTCTGTAGACCAGGCTGGCTTTGAACTCACAGAGATCTGCCTGCCTCCCAAGTGCTGGGATTAAAGGACCCACATGGCGGAGGGAGAGTACCAGCCCGTCAGTTGTCCTCTGACCTCCACACGTGTGTACATGTGCACACACCAAGTAAGGAAAAGGAGTTTGTAAAACGAACACGACGAGTATAATAGAGCAGCGAGCGGTTTGCACCTCTGGGAGCCTCGGGGCAATCCAGAAGATGACTCGGGTGCGCGTAGTGGACAACAGTGCCCTGGGGAACACCCCCTACCATCGGCCGCCTCGATGCATCCACGTCTACAACAAGAGTGGGGTGGGCAAGGTAGGCGATCAGATCCTGCTGGCCATCAGGGGGCAGAAGAAGAGAGCACTCATTGTGGGGCATCGCATGCCTGGCTCCCGGATGACTCCAAGGTTTGACTCCAACAACGTGGTCCTCATCGAGGACAATGGGAACCCTGTGGGGACTCGAATTAAAACACCGATCCCATCCAGCCTTCGCAAGAGGGAAGGCGAGTATTCCAAGGTGTTGGCCATAGCTCAGAACTTTGTGTGAGCAGAGCGGCTCTGAGCCATGCAGGTGTCCCTTCACACTGGTGACACGTCCTGGAACAGAATAAATGTTTTAATGTGTGTTTTCTTCCTAAAAAAAAAAAAAAGAGGATTGTTTAAAACAGGTTTCCTCCAAGCCAGTGAGTATTAATGCGGACTTCCGGGAGTCACGGGTACAAAGATGCAGTAGTGTCATGGCTACCCTCTTCTTCCTGTGGCTGGTTTTCTAACTGTCTCTCCAGATGGTGGCAGACCTGTCACCCAGATTAGGAAATGATCCACCCAATGATGCTGGCATTCTGCTCGTTTATAAAGCTGCAGGGGATCTGCCAGCAGGGAGCTTCCCGGGTCCTTGCCTGGTCGCCATTGCCTGCTGCTGAGGGAGAGGAATAAGTGCAGCGCTGGTCTTGACGTTACTGGCTGCTTAGCAAGTCTGTACCATGCCACGCATCACTGTGAAGTACTCATGGAGAGAATCAAGGTGGCCTCTGCCTTGGGAATGAAGCAGGGCCAGCGACACCCCACAGAGCGAGATGTAGAAAAGATGTGTATGTAACGGATCCGGGCACAGAAGGTGATGTTTCCAACGGGAGAGAACAGGGGCACAGATAGAGAAGGGAAGTCAGGTCCAAGGCCGTGGGCCTCCAGGCCTGGGGGGGGGGGGGTTGTCACACTCCAACAAGCTTAGTGAGCTAACAAAAGAGAGTTTGGTTCCGGGCTTTCAAGGCCAGAGACAACAAGGATGTTGGATAATTTGTTGCCGTCTTCAGAACTCCTTCAGATCCTTCAGTGTGTGGCTGTTGGAGTGATCGCTGGAGATTGCTCAGCTCAGACAGGCTGCCATCCTCTGAGCCGCCATCACTTCCGCTGAGAAGGGGGAAGGTTCTCCAAGTCAAGTTTGCAGCGCCGGGTCACGGCCTGGCAGTCCTTACGATGGTGCGACTCTGTTTACAGTAAGCACTGTGGCCCTAAAAGTCCGTAGGTCTGTAACACCAAGACAGTGATGAGGACTTCCTTTTAACCTGTGATGCGCCTGCACCCTACCCATCTCATGGTTCTTTTGAAATGGTGTGATTCTAGCCATAGCATTGCGTTCTGAGTAGTTGGTTGAAGTTCTCAGCTTTAGTTTAGAACATCAGTGAGACTGGGAGACTGGGTTATTAGTGGTTAAAGCACTGGTCACACGAGTATGAGGACTGGAGTTTGAATCCCCAGAACCCACCTAACTATCGGGTGGACATGGTGACCCACTTGTAATTTCCGGTGGCCAGAAGGTGGTGGGATTGCCACAGTAAGACAGCCAATCAGACTAGCTGTGGGTTCAATTGAGAGAGAAAACTGGAAGACTTCTAATGTCAACCTCGTGCGCGCACGTGTGTGTGTGTGTGTGTGTGTGTGTGTGTGTGTGTGTGTGTGTGTGTGTGTGTGTGTGTGAAGGGAGGAGCTCCATTTAGTGAACATCCTCGTTGTGCTAGGAGCCTTCTCGGGCACTGTTGCCAGAGTGCAGACCTAGGCCTGTGTGTGGCTTCTGTGACCTTGGTCTTCAGTCATTTATAGAGATCTCATCTTGTCGATCATTAACCTTTAATAGAACAGTATACAGAAGCATTGCATGTGTGTGACCCAAGGCCTCTTGGTTAAATGTGACCAGCTGAGAGCAGAAATGTACCGGCTGTTGCTGCCCTTTCTGCAGCTTCCTGAAAGAAGCAAAGGGCTGGAGAGATGATTCAGTGGCTGAAGCGTGTGCTGTGTAAGTTTGAGGACCTGGGTTCAGATCCCAGCAACCACACAAACAATGACCATGGTGGCATGGACCTGTAACCCCGATGTGAGTGGCGGGATCCCTGGGGTTCGCTGGCTAGTCTGCCTCCCCCAGTAGTGACTAAATTCAATAAGATCTTGTCTCAGAAGAATTTGTCTCAGAAGATGAGGTGAGAAGTAATAATGAAGATGGGGTGTGTGTGGCTGCTGTCTATTAGGGCTTTGTTAATATTCTCCACACCTTGGAGATCTGAGCACCAAATACTTTGATCCCAGTAGGTATGTTCTGTAATACTAGCCAAATAAATGTGATGTGATGTGCTTTCTCCCCAGATCGGCCGTGGATCTGGAACATTCCTTATGTCAAAGCACCTGATACACACGGGAACATGTGGGTGCCTTCCTGAGACAAAGTACTGTGAAGTTTGAGTGTAAGACGTTGAATGTTCCTGTTTGTACTGATTGTTCACCGCCCTTTAAATCTTCTTATTTGCACCCATACAAAACTCTTTGCAAAAGTCAGTCTTGGTTATGTGTCTGATGGTCATTGTCAACATCCTCCCTAAGAAAGAGAAGTGTTATTTTCTTAACTCACTTTTATATGTTCTTGAAATCAAGCTATTAAACTTCATACTGTTTAATTTTTTTTTTTTTTTTTTTT